CTCCCCCCCCCCGAGAAAGCCCTGTTTCCTACGGGATGCTTGACGGAATAGTTCATGATGATGTAGTCACTGCCCATCGGCAGCCACGAGCGCAGCGTGATGACGTCGCGGTTCTTTAAGGGTTTCGGGCACTTCCCTGCCAGAGAGGGAAGAAGACAAGAGGACTCAGGAGATGAGCCAGCAGCTCCAAACGGCAGGAGAGCCTCGTGCGCAGCAGTGGATTTCTCCTTCCCCTGCTGTGTCCTGGCAAACGGGAAGGCAGAGGCTCTCCCAGCTACATAGTAAAATGGCCAGGGTGGGACTCCAATGATCCCACCAGCAGGAAAAAGCAAGGAGGAAGGGACCTGGGGATCAGGACTCCCACTGAGCCAGGAACGAAGGCTGCTGCTCATTTGGGAGAGGTTAATTCCTGAACCTTCAAAGAAATTAACATAGCATAAATAAACAACTGAGCGGATTTCTACTAGCAAGCAGACCAAGGACGCTTCAGATGTGGGAGGCTCCGGTGCAAATTAATAGCAGTAGATTTGGAGGACCATCGAATGAGCAACGTCCTGAAGAAGTGGCAGAATCTTGTGGAGCTTGGTTGAGCTCAGAAAACTAAGCAGGGTCTTGGAGAAGAGGCCACCCAGAAATGGCAGGTGGGAGGGAGAGGAGGCTAGCCTGGGAAGTCAGAACACACACACACACACACACACACACACACACACACACACACACACACACACACACACACACACACACACACACACACACACACACACACACACACACACACACACACACACACACACACACACACACACACACACACACACACACACACCAGAAGCTGCCTATGGCAAACCACTTCCAGGGTGTTTCCAGGAAAACGCCACAGGGGTGTCCTGAACTCACCAAGAGCCACACTCAGCTCAAGGAAGATGTTACCTCTGAAAAGTCCAGGGGTGGGGGGACACTGGGAGCTCCCATTTGGGGTTTTAAAGACAGGATATCATTAGGGTTTCTAATTAATCCAATTGTGCAAAAGGCTGGTCTCTTCCTTTAGTGCCCCCACCCACCCAGGACTTTCCCTGGGCTGGAAATGGATCAAGGTCTCCCGCCACCACCCCATCGCACCGCAACTAGAACGCTTTAGCTATTATCTTACGGAATGATATTGTTATGTGATGAAGGCAGCAAGCCTTGAAATCAAATAAAAATGCCATTCCATAAGATAATACGAACATAGGCATAGCACTGTAGTTGCAGTACAGTGGGGGGGGGGGAAGAGACCTTGATTAAAATACAAAAGGATGCAAAAAGATGGCCAGGCGCTCCGGGATGAGTCCCCGCAGCTGGGCTTCCTCTGGGGATTATCTCGGCCAGCCTCTCCCCCTGCCCCAGCTTCTCACAGGCGTAGTATCCCACATCTGCGTTGACGGTCAGCTTGCCGATGTCAAAGGTCTCGATGACGTTCGTGTCCCATTTTTTCCTGTATTCAATATCGTGGAGCACGTCGTACAGAGTTTCCGCGGAGATATCTTTGCAATCCATCCTGCACTGGAGAGACACAGCAAATCAGAAACCCAGTAATCTCAGTATGTTTACCCAGGAGTAAGTCCTGCTACCTTGAAAGAGAACAATTTTCAGTTACCTGCCCGAAGCACTGGAGAAAAACTCCCCCTCTTCGATTAAGCACGTTGGTCAACCATCACCCTTCGAAAGAAAACTGTTTCGTGGGTGGCAAGGTGCCAAACGAATAGAATGAATTATGTGCTTTTAACCTAATTACTAATTAAACTAATTAAAATAAGCCTGTGTCCCAGAAACTCTGCAAAATAACCTCCTTTATTTTGACACCACTGAAGGAAGGAAAAGCTAATATGCAAAGTCTGAGATGTTTTAATGTTAAAAATGCTTTAGGAAAATACACACTAGTATCTTCACCTTACAGTGCAACCCTCTTTC